ATTGGCTATTATTGCTTTCTCGTGCATATATACTTTCATCTAGACACCCTGTATATTATTACTGCCGAAGATATACGGTCAGATATATATGGTATCATTGAATCGATATTAGATAGGCCCTCACAAAATTGTATTATTTTGCTATACCATATAAAACTTCATTGAATGAGTTTAAATTAATTGAATTAGAATATAGAAGAGATATAGCATCTGTACTATTCTTGCATAAATTAGTTAATGGACAAGCCATTTGCCCGGTTATTTCAAGAAAATTAGTTCGTCCTCAAGAACACTATGTTAATAGAGATATCCCCATATTTTTTCTGCCAAGACCGAGAACGAATCTTGGTTTGAATGCTCCTGTATATAGGATTTGTAAACTGCGGTAAATGAATTGAAGTTGAACATCTCTCGAAAAACGTTTAATGTTGTTAAGCAAAGAATATTCTCATATTATAATATAAGCATATCATCATACAACTTGAAGCATTCTAGGTCTGTATTGTAGCATAATGTATTTGTGTTAGGTAAAATTCGTTTCACATTTTCACAACTGAATAGATATATACTTTTCTTGTCTTATTTACCACAATAGGTAACGTTTCTCTGCTCACTGAAATCTGATTAGTCTTAAGGAAATAATTGTAATCGATTATTGGATTAATTTCTGTAAGATTACATACAAAGGAAATACAGATAAATAAATAACTAATATAATTAATAGGTACAGTTCCTCCCACGTAAATGGGTAAGTGAAGTTACAGTGCAGTTATCTCACGCAAGATATGTACATTGTACAGGGCTTTCCTACTGTCTGGAATAATCGAATTCTTAAATCGTATCGCGAATAGATTTTAACTGACGCAATCTGCCACCCTGTGAAACTGGCATATGTTTCTCCTGAACATATTTGAAATGTCCTTTTTCCATTTTCCCGATCTTTACCACAAACTGTCCAACTGGATAAAACTTCTGGCCCAGTTTTGGTTCTTAATGAAAAGTCTAGCTCAGATTATGAGAAGAAAGTTGACGACGAATATAATCTTTTTCTTTCTACGAGTAGTTTGCATTGTGAGCCAGTCGAGTTGATTTTCTAAAAATACCCTTGATGGAGCTCAGTGAAGCTTTATATTCTATTATTAAAAGCACGAGCAACAAAGTTTCCCCAAAGGCTTCTGCAAAAGTCGCGGAAAATGACCGTGTCATTCAACACACGTCGCTACCTCAATAAGCCGTCTTTTGTTAACTTTCAATGGAAGTTTTTTTTGCTGTATCCTGTTTCCTGTGAAGAGACGTCTGAAAGGTTCGGTTTGCTGAACAGTAAATAATACATCTTGAAAATTGGATATAGACTTGCATCCCGGTTGATCACTATAGTGTTAACTGACATTTGTTCGAGAGTTTTTGAATTCATGATGGGAGAATTATAGTAAGGTGAACCGAGTCGGTTTCAGAACACATCAACTTCCATATACATTTCAGGCCAGCTTTCAAATTCGACAATAGATTGCTCACATGAATGGTTGTAATAGAAAACAGTCAAGTCATCTTTGAAAATTTTGTTTTCTGATTAACAGTCAAAGGAGAAAGCAGAGCAGCATAATATGTATGATATGTTGTCGCTTTGAGGCGCAGTCAAATGCTTAACAGCTCTCATTCATATATTATGTACCCATGGTTTTTATCACCCACATCTATCTGTTTCCATAGCGAAACATGAAGCCGATTTTTGAAGACAAATGACTATTCATAAGGAAAAGTGAGATATACGATCAGACACATACCCCAACCAACATTTTAAGAGAATTATACCAAGCAGAGAGGAGAAATTACTCGAAGAAGTCGAAATTTACTAATTTCCGACAAAATATTTTACCTTTATGCCCTGAGTAACTTGAAAGTTATGGATTAGGTTGTAAAATACCTGGTTAGGACCTCAACATTTCCTATAAAATCCATCAACTTTATAGACAAATTGCATAGTTGGAAACTACTCATTACAGACTTCAAACATAACTTCATGGTCCTAGTGAGCATTTAGTTATCAATTAGGTAATATTTAACATCAAAATCACCAGTAAAATGTCTTCCAGGCCCTCGAACTATCAGGATATTTATTGGAGTTGAAATTTACCAAATTCTAACTTGATAAACGATCATAAAGTCAGGGAATAATCAGATGGAGAAAATAAGTCGGATTTATACTCTGTTTTGCCTATTTTTGACCAATTGAGTCGAAGGAGTTTCTTATACTTTTTTTAACCTAACCAGTACCAACTTCATATCCGATGAAGGCAAGATTACCACTATGAAATCCTTATAGAACGAAGTGTCCTTGAGAGAGCCGAGAATACCAAAATTAGTCCTAAAATCATGTTCTCAAAGTTGATGACTATTATTGATCCTGGTGCTTTGAGGTCGGCAAATGTTTTGAAATGATCATTAATTTCTGAGAATATTAAAAACTGGAGACAAGCGCAATGTATGAGTTTTGAATGTTTTATTCTTTATCACCAGTGAGTGGTTCAGGTAGCTTACCGCTTGAACGCTTCTAAAGCAAATCATGATATCTTTCTATACATTACGATGATGTTTGATCATCTAAACCATCGATTTGTTTTGAGATTCAAAGTTTTACTTCCACTTATTCCATTGGTCAGATCTGAATGCATATTTCAAATAACTTTTATAAAAAAAAACAGGTATCAATTATTACACTTCGGTTGAGAACGTACAAAAATGGCAAATGTACTAAAAGTATACTAGAACGGCAACACTGTTCGAGAGATGACAACACGGCGATGGACTTTTCTGATTCGCTGAAAAATGAAGCCTGTCATCCAGCGATCAATTAGAAAACATACCGTGGTGCAGAATAAGAAATTGAAAGCAAACAACGAACATTTGACAAATTATATGATTATAGGGAACATCTGATAATATAAATCCATCAGGTTGACTGCTACTCAAATAATATACTCGTTGATATAGTCTAAAATCCCAATATGGGGAAATTGGGCTCCATAGTCAGAATATACAGAATTTTCGACTATGAACGAAGCCTATTCGCCCTGAAAGTTGAAGATTCTGGAAAATTCGACTTTCAAGTCCAATATGAAACCGACGCCATATTTGTTGGCTCGAACCTTTTTCGCCATTGACGGAAAAAGAAGAAATCTCTGCATAGCGACCACATCCTGATGAATAGTAATACAGAAAAGGTTAAATTTCGCATATATGATCATATTCTACCAGTTGATCCATTTTTAGATGGAATTGTTGAAAAATAATTCGAAAACACAAAGAATATCATCCAGTATTTTTCTACAAATCCAATAATTTCGTGGGCCCACTAATTTTACATGTGTAAAATCAACATTTTCACAATAAATTTTGCATCGCAGGTTGAATAACGATTCACAACAACCTCAAATAAGCCATAGATTAAAGCATATTATCTACACCTTCCACTACTATCGAGTTTTCTTTTGAACGCCATGTTCATAAACTACTAAGTCTCCACACGTAAATGAGTAGGTATAGTCGATCGTGAAACACGGTACATATTTGTTTTCCGAACCCAACCAAATGACAGTAAACCAGGTAGAAATCTTAGTAAACTCACCCATAAGTAGGTAATGAATAACGTCAGAATAACTAAAATCAGACCACCATCGGACTAGAATTAGGGCAATTTCACCTAATTGTTTCCCCGACCTATTGGTCAGGATACCCTAATATCCCTATTCTCGTCTTCTGAATTACTTCCAGTTTTTTCCCCATATTGGTAAATTTGAAGTAAATAAGACGTAATATTCACTTAGGCCAAATAAGTCGTTGACCTATTCTAAGGTCGAAATGACGTATATAATACCTAAAATGTTTGTTGGACTGCTTTGATTGAAAGGCTAGTAAACGTCATTGTCCACCGAAACGCATGTCTTTGATGACTACGTATCATGCCACCAAATCCTTATGGATATTCATTTGTTTCATATTTTTCGCTTCATCCTGGCACCCGTTATGATCCGTATTGTTTATTAATACGTATATGAAGACAACACATATTTTACTCAAACTGTTACATCATCCAACTACCTCCACAATATGTTGAGTCTATAGGAGCTTACATAAAAAAACTTGCCATCGATACATGGCTGATTTATAATTCAAAAAGTTATTTTTGTGTAGCTGAGTTCAAATCGCGTTGTCTGACATCGCGGCCATGAAGCTTAGAGCGGAGGTGACCGTCAATTGGTCAATTCTCGATATTAATTTTTTTGTTACATACATGGGTCATTGTCGTTCGATATAACAACCTGGAGAAGAATAGAAGAAGAGAAATGTCAACCTAATATAATGGTCTATTTTGACATAAACAAATGAGCTCTTTCCACATTCTCGTCCCCAGCGCCACTTGACAGACAGACATATTTCGATTCACTGAACAGACAATAATATACCTCCTCGCACTAGGTCGCCAACTAGTTTGCGTTAAAATCATCATTGCATGGGTTATACCAATACTCACAATAATAATTTGTGATGCAAATCACTGAACATCGCCAATTGTCTCCTTGACATTATCACCGATACAACAAGTCCGCAATGCTCTGAAGTGAGCACCTAATTAGGTCACTCATTATAGTAGGTCAAAGGTTACGCTATTTATTCATACGAATACGAAAGGCAGATACTCAGACTGATAAGTTGCGATTTTCGTTTGTTTAAGAACGCACGATTGAATACCTCTCTAGGGTATTCATCAAAATGTATTGTGTCGTGTGAAATATTTGGTGTTTTATCAGGTAGGATAACAATGCATCATGAGTGTTATGTACCAGTGTGCAAGGGGATTATTGTTTCGGTGTAACGATCTCCTAAAACAAAATCTATGTTCACGCTAACCCCAATGTTCTTTCAAGAGGATGTTTTCAATGATGAATAGTAATCAGAATTTTCTAGATCTTGATTAGAACATTATATCAACTGATTTATACCTGGTAATCCAGAATGGAGAATCCAAGGCCATGATCACCTTTGACCAACTCGACGACCGTCGCATCTTCGCGCCACATTGGCAATCCTGCAATCAATTCCAAGGATCTGGACCTACTGACAGCGCCGCTTGCCATACTAGAAGCTATGGATGATTCGGATTTGGCTTTCACTAGGTGGTTGTTTTCGATCATGGGATTGAGGGTTTGGAGGCTACCGGCAAAAATTTTCTGCGGGAAAATAAAAAAATCGATCAGTTTGTAGGTATATGTGGAAAATGATCGTGGAACCTCTCTAGACAAACCCTAATGAAACTAATTGACTGCGCCTATGCACTCGAACAGATCGCCCTGATCTCATAAACGCGTATATCGAGAAATGCATGAGGATTAGGTAGAGTCATCTGAAGAAAGGTAAAATATATCACAAGACCTATGGAAGTCTGCCAGGTCTGAAACCGTTTGCTAATTTTCGTCTGAAAGCAAATTTTTATACATTCTCTTTCTCATTTTTTTTTCTGGCATATTTTTGAATACATCTGCCTGGACTCTGATAATAGCAGAAGGGTGAGCCATCGCGTTTTCCTCTTCTGAGAAGTCAATATCCGTTTTCATTTCAAAAATAGAACATCAACATCAGAACTAATAACTGGCAATTGGTCGATTACGATTCTAGCTCATTGCTTAAAATATACAACATTGTGACTATTAGTACAGAGATTATAGATATGATGAAGGGTGGAAGTTATAAGATGAGCAAATATTTACCCTCGCCTGGAACGCTTCTATGTGCTGAGATGTATCAATTATTCTAATAGGAACCGGGTACCGGGCACACGTGATGCTTACGAAATTCGGCAATTGTTTCAATATTGACACGACCTCAAGATGATTAAGACCCAGTAGTTGGACTCCATTTACCTGAAACAATGATTTATATTGACAAAAGGATCTCAGGTTCACTTATGTGTAAATTGATACATTGTTTATATTGTTCACAGTGAACTGAGTGAATATGGATTACCTCCAATAATTCATCTCCAGATTGGAGGGTGCCATTTCTCCCAACTGGTCCATCCGGAAGGATATTCCTGATATAGTGATGTGGCCTGACTTCTTTACCATCTTCTACGTCAACTGTACCTTCAAGACTGATTCCCAGACCAATCTCGTAATCTTTGTGCATTTGGGCGATCTGGATAATAAGTGAAGACAATTATGTACGAAATGATATCTTTCACAACAATAATAGAAAATCTAGAGATTTGAATTACACAGCATAACTTATCTCGCCTCAAATGCTGAAAAATCAAAACCATCATCTAGATCATTTTTGTAATTCATCCTCATCCTGATGAATGGATATACATACTAACTCGTGAAAATTTGATTCAAAATACGCCGTGTTCTCGAATTCTGGTTATATTAATTTGTTCGCTGTGTTGACGATGTTTCCAAGCAAACAATATTTCTAAAACTTGAATTATTGATAGAAACTGATGGTGAATTTCTGCGTTCTTGAGATGGTGATTTCCGTGAAATTAAGTGCACGATATAGGTAAATGGAAGTGGGAGCTGTGGAAAGAAAGTGTTAGCAAGATTGCAGACGAGAAGCAGAGGTACTTGGTGGACCCGGGATTACTGGTCAACGTCCTAAAATACGATTCGAATATTTATGTGAATTCCTCAGAGAGAATCTGCTGCATCAACTATTCTGAAAAATATATTGATTCCCAGTGAATGTGGATACCTACCTACCCCCACACCTACCTAATTTTCTCGATTATGTAAAATTAAAATAGTTATCGAGTCCACCAGATACATGCACATGAAACTAATATTATTGAATCCTATTAACAATTTCTAAATAGTTGACGCGATTTGATCCTGAGATATGAAAAATTTCTGTCAGTGTCGCAGTTCTTGTTATTAGATATGAAACTCCCCTTTGTTAGACAGTTTCAGAAAATAGTACCCGCATAATACAAACCCTTCTGAAAAAGTTACCTGCTGTTCTGATACTTTCATATTTTCGATTGATAATTAGAGTAGTATGGACAAGGAGTGTGGGATATGGAGCTTTGCACGAGCCGGGCAAACCCGCGCGGAATTAGGCCCAGCCACGAGCCTGAAGTATGCAGATTGCAGCGTACAGTCGTCTTCAGAGAACATGTCGCACATGAACGGTGTCAGCTCTCTTAATCACTGCTCCAACAAGAGCGCTCATACCGCCCAATGTACACTGAAGACGAGTGTACATGTCGGGGCGTTCTAATTCATAAATAAATTGAGAATAAAAAAATAATTTATAAGAAGCTTTTATTTCATCGCTTTGAAGATGATAGAATAAAACTATCCTTTGAAACTTCAACTTTCAACTTATAACATTATTATACACAATTCATATGATCATAAAAGCATTCTCATTCTCAGCGAACCCCTTCATTATAGAAAAGCACAAAAAACTTCAATAGTATGCCATATTGGATTTAGAGTTATGGTATATTATTTCTAATCATTCTCTGCTAATCCTTTCATTTGATACCAATATTGAAGAAGTGCATGAATAACAACTATTTCGCCATCTTGAATTTAGAATAACGTTACATTATTTTCCGAGTTACTCTCAACGAGACGTTCCATTTAATACCCATATCGTAAAAGTAGATTGAAAATAACTATTCCGCCATCTTGAATGGTCTCACAAATTGAATTTAGAATGACATAACATTATTGTCCGATTTGGTCTCAACGAGCCCGCTCATTTGGTACCCATATTGTAGAAACGTGTATACAAAATTTCAACTCAATCGGTTGAAGATATCTTCTTCAAAGTTGAGTTGAAATATTCTACCCGAATTATGCGGGCAGTGAGGGTTATTTGAGCCGTTCAAGTTACGCGGCCCGTGCAAGTTACGCGGGTGGTTACGCGGGCCATTCTAGCTAAGATATTTTATAGTTCACTCCAGTATTCTGTTATTTATCAACTGAGAAGAAATACCGTTCTCAGAAAATTAGCATTGAATTCAATCAATCTTGAACAATTTTACTGCTAATTGAAACTTCAAACACAGGATATTCTTGACATTGCATGAACATTCAAGGTGGGATTCCTTTTCTTGAGTCAAAATATGTATGAAGTTTCCTCCTATAAACCTAGAACCAAGTTGAGCAGATCACACGCCAGTGAAGATGGCAGGGTATAGACTGAAGTGTGATTTGTATCAGTTCTGAGAAGAAAATAACTTCCGATAGGGAGAGTAGAAGGCATCTGCTCTGTTGGTCAAGTTGCTGAGGAAGTGTGTCTCTGATTATGCGTGGATAGATACCATGTTACAATCAGCAAACATCAAATCTCTATATAGTCTCCTTCTGGCACAGTATGATAGATCAGCATATATTGTTAGACATTGCCAAGCTGCACCTGTCAAACGTCGCTTCATTGTATGGCATATTGTAATCGTTTGCCTATGATTCAGCCGGCACTGAGCGAGCAGTGTCATTTCGTATTTCCACCTATATGTCATCTACAATCTTCTACCCATAAGACTTTCATCTTGCCGACACCGTGCCAAAAAAAGTATGATTAAATTCCAGTTTCAATAGAAAAATCTTATCTTTTAGTGCCCCTCCATATGAGACTTCCAACCCTCATTTCACACCCCTTTAGAGTGTAAATTTCGTACAATCATGAAATTCCCTATTGATAGGTGCCCAACGTTACAGAAAGTTAACTTTTTTTTGCAAAAATGTCACGATCATTTCTTCAGCTCTTTCGGCTCGGCGATAAAGAATCTGATATATTTTTGTTATTTCATATACAGTGATTTTCACTATAGGCGTAAATTAGACGTTCCTGATAGCAAATCGAGCAACATCATCAATGAATCCCATCAAAGGTTGGTGGGATATTATTATGTTTTTATAATACCGTATATACGCCTATGTATACCCTGAACAATTTCCAATTCAGTCGATTATAGGCCATTCTGAGACGTCATTTTGACGTATAAATATGACGTATCATGGCTGTGATATCTTAACGTCTCTTCGAGGTCTTCAAGACGTCATTTCTTGACGTCAATCGGTGAGTTTTGTGACTGTGCTCCCTGATGGATACAATGAATCTCATTGGATTTTCTCGACATGCTTATACATAAAACACTCAATGCATTGAATCAAACATGACCCTTTTTTGTGATACTCACAATAACTTCAACATTCTTTTCCAACCGGTCCCTCCATTTGGCTTGAATCTTCTCATAACTTTCGACACTGAACTGCAAAGATTTGTTTTCTCCGCCGATGACAATTTCTTTTTCTTCGTTTACCGGAGTTATTGCTTCCAATAAAATAGCAGAGTCGAATTCGAAGCTAGTACGTGAATCTCCGTCCGGTTCTATGGCCAAATAGTCCATTTGCTGAAAAATATCACAGTGTCATTGTTCTAGCCCCAGGCACAGTCCCGTGAGTCATAAAATTTTAATAATACAGTGCGATTGCGAAATTCGGAACACTTTCAACAACAACAACAACAACAGAACAAAATTCATTATTATCGTCGTTATATTGAATGAAATATGATAGCTTGAATTCGGAAACGAAGAAAATAACTTCAAAAATTCAGTTTTAGTTGCAGCTGCATTGTTGCGAAAATTATTCGAATCGCATTAGGGAGAATTCGACGAATTATCGAAATAACTCATCTGAAATTCACGTCTGTTTCATCAGTTCAAATTTCGACAGAATGATGAATGAATTCAGCTAATATGATGCTGGGTGCGTAAATACTACGACCAAACTTGAAGTAACAATATAAAATGAAAATCTGATTTTCTCGACAGACTATTGCAAATATTTTTTCAGGCAAGAGGCAGATGCCATGAATTTGCTCCTGAATTTAACCAACCAATCAATTTCGAATAAAATCTCCAAGTAAGTACCAATGAAACATATAAAGAATTGTATAATGAAGTATGGTTATATTATATAAAATTAGAAAACAAATATATTCTTAAACTCTGATCCATCATGTTTCGCATTCATATTATGGATATTGAATGAGAAATTCATCAATAGCAGAATTTCCTGTAATGTAAAAACTGATACTCTTCACGAGGTTACATATAAAAACAAACAATTAGATCTATGAACAAACATAATGATGATTCAATATGAAATAATTGTCAAAGCACAACATGATACAATCACTCGATCTTTCAAGTACAATGTGTTAAAACAAAAGAGGTGATAAATATTCGTGAGAATCGACAAAGCTGTGGATTATTTTGAATTCAATTTTTTCTTATCGCCTGGAGCACACGAAAGGAAATCCCTACAATGTTCAAAGAACATCGTGCGTTCATGAATTCGAGATGTTTATACAGTGTCTGACTCGATTTTTTATATCTTCAATAATTCAGAATGGAAAGTTGAGTATCGAACTTCACTTTCGATCTATAATGTTCTCTTCAGAAGTTGATGTAACAAGTTTCTTCGAATGAATTCACCAAAATGTTATAAAACAGTGTTTGACAAACGTTACCTCGCTATCTTCTCTCGGCGTCTGAAGTCTGACTGATGCTATCTGCCAACAGTTCATACCGTGCACTGAACTTTGTGAACATTCTAATATGCTATTGTTCAAAGATGGAAGAAATGACCGATAATTCATTCAGGAATTATCAATCAATATCTAGGTTATGAACATTGATTTGTAAAAATCGTTGAATGATAAATCTCTGTCAATATTTCTTGTAATTAAATAGTCACAACCTAATATTCACACTTGTAAAATCTAGAGTCCCTGTATATACCTTAGATAAAATCTATCGAATTTTGTGAACAATTATTTTGACAACAGCAAATTACAGTTATTGTTAACTCAATCGCCGTTTCTGTATCGTGCCGTAAGTTGATGTTCGATGATCATGATAACCACAGCGGACGTAAATAGTTTGTGGACGAAAACAACTTGCCTTCAAAAATTCTCGATTTTTAAATTGGAAATTAGTAGCATCCTGCGCAAAAAGTAAGTTATTCTAGAGGTCGACGAAAAGAAAATGTATATCGTCATAATGGAATAAATTCTTATTCCATTTTTATTTTACAGTTTCTTACCATCGAACTGAGAGGAACCTTGGGCAACGAAGTCAGTGTAGGACTTGGTGGTGAGGACGGCCTAAGTTCGTTGGCTCTGATAGCTTGCTGCAGCTGCTCGTATTTGGGGCCTCGTAGATACCTCTCCAATTTCAAGGTCACTGTTGAGCCAGTATTGCGTAACAGTTCCACCGCTTGGTGATTGGAGAAGCCCAGCACAGAAATGTCATTCACCTTGAGAAAAAATGGACGTTATTATTTAGAGCGCACAAGAATCAATCATAACATCAATCAGCATTCAGCTCGTACCGACCAAGCTCCGAATCGGTATGAAAGATATGTGGAAGAAGGCTCTCCTTAGGAAGAAGCCTTGATAATGTTTGTCCGATCTGGCCCAGTAATATCTTTGTAGGATATGCCTCTACATACCAATATATCTTCAGTTTCTCGACCACCAATAATTTATTGGAATGATTTTTTTTTTGTTAGGTAGATATTCAAAAAGTCTATTGGGACACCAAATATCATGAATAAATCTCCATCTCCAGGGCCAACTAATCTGATTTTTCAAGGTCAAAAATCTAAAAAAATTACTAGCGATATTTTTAGAAAAAATCTGACTACACCACTGGATTTGTGACATTTTCAAATGGGTAACATGTGAATTACGTTGAAATGCGTCAATCAATAAAAAAGTTATAAAGGAATGAAATTTGAAAAATATGCCGTTTAATCAACCCACCAATTCATGTTCAGGAATTTTATGAAAATTCTGTATACTCCACTGGATTCAGGATGTCTTGAAATATTACTGATCACAGTTTCATCGAAATCTGTTCAGTAATAAAAATTGATGGGTTGATTAAACGGCATATTTTTCAAATTTCATTTCTTTATAACTTTTTTATTGATTGACGCATTTCAACGTAATTTACATGTTACCCATTTGAAAATGTCACAAATCCAGTGGTGTAGTCAGATTTTTTCTAAAAAAATCGATAGTAATTTTTTTAGATTTTTGACCTTGAAGAATCAGATTAGTTGGCCCTGGAAATGGAGATTTATTCATGATATTTGGTGTCCTAATAGACTTTTTGAATATCTACCTAACAAAAAAAAAATCATTCCAATCGGTTGAAAAATGTAAGTTTCATAAGGGTGCTTCCATCTTAAATGGGTCACACTGTATATAAATAGGTCGGAGCTACAACAGACCCATATCGCAATGTAGAGCCTTGTGAGCCTAGTGAACAAATTTACTCTCTTGGAATCCCTTGGAATCTTGGAAGTTTAAAATTTTTCACATCTTCTTGATCACACGGAAAGAAATCTTCATTATGTTCGTGAAACAATGTCAAATGTACCGTTAAATAAACGAATGAGTTTCGGTAGAAAATTCCACACCAGTACCTTTGAACCAATCAATTTTTTTTTTGTCAAATCACTATAGCAAGGTATATGTATTTTAGTGGAATTTGTATCTCTTGGGCACCCAGCAGCGTATTGAATAGGTACTTTTCTGATATTTCATTCATGACAAAATAATATATTTTTTGACGATACTGGTTTGTAATAAAAACGCACAATAGCTATTTTATATCAAGGGAGAAAAGGTATCCACTACAATTCGAGAAACAATCCCTAATAGCATTTGGTACAATTCACGTCCGAATGTCCCGAACCAAAAATAAGTGTCCTTGGGACGTCCCATCCCGTACATCTCATGGAATGCCCGAGCAAGGACGTCCACGGAATGTCTCAATCATTTCAAATGTCCTAGAAATAGCATCTCTCAGACGTCCCACGTCGTACATATTGTAGAATGTCCATGCAAGGACATCCTTGGCATGTCCCTGATGGGATATGATTTTGAACGTTTCTTTAGGGACATCCATCGGATGTCCCGAGTAGTACACATTCTGGCATGATTTCAGATCTCATATAATATGTCCCTTCTAGACAACCATGAAATGTCCCTGATGGTACATCCCTTCAAATATCTCTGCACAGACGCCTTGATATTTCCAGGATCGTATAACAATCGAAATGTCCCTTATATAGGGACATCCTTCGAATGTCCTTTAGGGATATCCGTCGGATATCACAATTGGTACATGAACTGTACTCTTCCAATGTCCTAGAAATAACGTCCTACGGACGTCCCAGTCGGTACTTTCAATATGTTGTCCCTGCGAGGACGTTAACTTACATCTCGCCGATGAATGATTGCTTGTAGGCTATAAGTACTCCTCGTCAATGTCCTTCACGTAAGTCCATTGGACATCCTTGAGAAACTTTTTGGGGACTCTCTACGGACCAACTCAACTGGATGTCCTAATCAGTTATGCAAGATCTGGTCCTAGAGGGACCCAAAAGAATACAAATTCAAGAATAATTCGTACGTCCCTGGGACATCCTATGGACATCAAAATTGATATCCCTCAGCGTTGCTGATAGGTTGTCCTATGGATGTCCTAAGGATGTCCTCTGTAGTGCTTGATGAGGAATGCTGTAGGATTTAGGTATTCGATAGTTGTCCCAGGGACATCCCCCAAGGACGTCCCTAGTTTATCCTCAAGTGGGACATTTGTGCGTCCCACAGACGTCCAATGGACATCCACGGTACCGAATTCGCACGTCCTATGGACGTCCTGAATGTCCCGACAGGGCGTCCTAAGGATATCCATGGGACATAAGTGTGTTATTAGGGATGTACTCTCACCAAATATCAGTTAAGTAGATGTATATATTTTCACTCCAATTACTTGAGGGATCCCAACAACAAGAAGCGTGACTCTCAAAGGAAATATGTATTCAAGTACTCCTATATGATTCAGTACTTGCAAAATAACTAAAAGTATAGAGGAATTACTTATTTCCTGTTTCCTATCAGTAGGTACCTATCAAGATTTCAGGGCCTTATTTCTCGAAACAAAATATCTTAGACTTCTTCTACATTGAGTTTTCGATCAAATTTGAAACATTGGTTATGTTGTAAGAATTTCCAGAGGTAAGCCCGTTTCCGCATCTCAAACGTTTTTGTGTTGCGCCACTACAGTAGATTTTGGAATACGAAATGGGTTCTTTGTTTTGTTCATGATTTTTTTTTGTCTATTGAGATTTTTAAGCATTTGCGACCGTTATCGTTAACGCGTCGTTCGGCCATTTGCAATCGCGTGCGGAAAAGGGATGCACGTGTTAGGTACTATCTATAGGAATTTCCTCTGGTGCGCTACAAGAGATGAAAAAAATAATTATTCATAATATCAACATTAACAAATCCACTTTTCCGCACTAGAATAAATGCTAAAAAATGACTTGTTCAACACTAAAATGACTGCGGAAAAGTGGAAGTTTCCGCACGCTAGTAGAAATAAGTAATTTTCTGTGCTCTGCCAGATTGAATCAATATTTTCAACAAAAAAGGGGAACCTATTATCACAATCAGAAGAAAAAACGCTTCATATTCTTTCCAAATATAACCTGAAGAATGAAAGACCGAACAGACCTTGAATTTTCATTAAAGGCGCTGCAAAATGAAAAATCTCAAAACGTGAACGCTCTTTTGTTCTGTATATCGGTAACGAAGCGATTGCGGACACAAAAAAGTCCTAGTCTGACCTGAAAAATAAGTCCCTGAAATCTTTATACTATAATCCTCTTTGTCCGATAATAGCAACAAGCATGAATCTTATGATCATCATGAGCTACTGAAATCAGAACTATCTAAAATTGAATGGTATAATTATTTTCATATGATGAAGAGTGAAGAATCAACTGATATATTTTATAATACTCTCTTTCCAATATTGATTCAGATAGTAGAATATTTGAAAAAAAAATCACGAAATGATGTTTTTTTTATCGCTTGGAGCGCACGAAAGCAAATCCCTATAATGTTCAAAGAACATCGTGAGTTCCTAGAGAGGATAGGGACAGGAGGTAGGTATTGGATTTTTTTTTCATTGATGGAAAAAATACAGTAATCAAATAGACTATTTCACATTCAAACTATTGCGTTGTCGTTTTAAATGTTTAATTGAAGAAATTACGAAAACAATATTGTATCAACTGAAACACAAAACATCTATGCAAAATCGTGAAGTGAAAAAGACACAATACTGCTTCAACCAACACTCTGATAGATGAAGATAATATAATTTGCAAGATATCTTCTAAATATTTGCTAAATATATATTTTCTCTCGATTCTCATTCCAAAAAGAATCAGCTATTTCAGCTCAGAACGTTACACAGCAATAATCACATAACAATATGTCTTCCTATGATATTTCCTCACAATCGATTATTCAAAAACTTGAGAATCTTTCAAATGAAGGAGTGGGACCAGATGAGCTACCGACAACATTCCTCGAGAACTGTGCTGAATATATCGCAATACCGATCTACATATTGATCTTCAATGAATCTCTCGAAAAAGATGTATTTCCATAGACCTTCGGAAAAAAGCTTATATGATACCAATCTTGAAATCCGGTAACAAACAACTGGTAAAAAATTATAGACCGATTTCCAAATGGTCAATCATTGCAAAATTTTTTGAATCCCTTATTTTCAATAAGCTGTTCTTCGACGTTATAAACATAATCAACATTTAACAACATGGCTTTCTGAAGGAGATGATCAGTTGATTTCAACTTATTCGTGTTTTGCTACAGGAGCTCGCTGGTGTCGTGATCGATGGCAATCTGCTGAATTTGCTTCATTCTTATGAAACTGACCGTTATGGTATAACAATCGGTAACCAATAATCTGAATATCATCAAATCACCTCTGGAGTACCTCAAGGATCTCATCTAGGGTCACTGCAATTCAATATTCATAATGTTGATTCGATTCGATTCGCCAATTTCCCTATGTATGCGGATGATCTTAAAATATATATCACTAAATTTCGGATGCTGACGTCATAACATCAATGCAGCAGGACATCAATAATGTTCATGATTACTGTGAGCTGAATAGTCTATATATATAAACTTTGAGAAGAGTCACTACATTTTGTTCGGACGTGAGAAAAGCATCTTGAATTACTCTCATCAGATATCATCTCGTCTTTTAAAAAGTGTTACGGAAACTAAAGATTCAGGAATAATATTCGATTCTGAAATGATTTTTGATGAACATATACTATACAGGGTGAACAGCTAAGAACCGCTGTCGGCCATATCTCAGCTACGAATAATGATACAAATTTAAGATAAATGGTATGCATATCATTACACGATGTGATAAAGAAACTAAATCTCAACAGACCAACGAGAACCACAACGTTATAGCTTTCAGCCAACGGATGATATTGACTATCAAAGTTGGAAGAATGAAAGATATGATAGCCGTTCTTAGTTGTTCACCGAGTACATTCTCTGAAACGCTCATAAAATGCTAGGTTTTATAATGGGAACTTGCCGGGAATTCAGAAACACACAGACCCTCTGTATATACCCTTTATGTGGAATATGGAACTCTGGTTACGATATTTATATAAACAAACTTGAACGGATACAGAATATATTTTCCATATATTTTCCATTCAACCCCAGCAACCGTATCCATGTTCGGGATGAGTTCTACTTATTAACACTAGGGACTATAGAGTCATAAATAATTTAGTGATATTCATCTTACAGCTGCTACTTATGAGGAATCATCGCACATTTTTCGTTACGATCAATCCCAAACAAATTATTTTTTGAACTCTTCATTGCATATAGATGCGAAATATCATACAACACGCTTGCAAATTCCTTTGATCTTTATATTTTCTCTTAGTCACTCGTAAAATTTTCCTACATCTTGAAAAAACATTTCCTTGCTTGATTGACTTGATTCGAGTTTATATCCATACCTTCCAATCACTACTCACATGTTGCACCTAATCAATTATTCATTATTTTATTATTCATTAATAATTTTCATTCGATTTGTTTATGATCTGTGTTTCGAGATATGACCTATCTGTGAATACTGTTCCGGGGTTTATACCCGTTCGTATTTCTTTTTGTGAATAAATGAATGAATACATAAGAATATAAATAATTACTGAATTTGGATACACCCTATATACGATGAGATATACGAAATGAGAGTACCTGACTATCATCTTCGTGTTTGCATGATAATTCTATTTAATAACGAATATATTATGATCAGAAGTTTCATCGAAGTCTAATATATATTTCTTACCTGAACTATTCTGTCGTTGATTTCGATATTCTGTGTTAGGTCGGCAGCACTTCCCTTGCTGATACTCTTCACAAATATACCGGATATTTCCTCTGCATAGAACAAAAATCTTAATGTTATTATTAGTTCATTGTAAATCCTTGAATCAATACACACCATTATGTTATATTCATATTATTTCAAATGAAAGCCTTGTATCTCGTATCCGGAGTGGTTACTATCAAAGAGCATAGAAATATATATAATATATATATCGCGGTCAATTGTGTGGTTACCTACACTGTGCTCCACTTGAAACGTGAATCACTCTACATTTTGAAGTCTAATTTATTTTATATTCTGTTCATCTGGGATGGTTTGAGTAGTTGAATCAATAGGAATAAAGAAATTAGTCAAAATGAATATAAATCAGGGTTCATTGAGGATTTTGAAAATGTATGAAATCACGAAACTGTATTAAGGATAGATGAACCGTTCCTAAAGTGTTGAAAATTGTGGCAAGTAATGAACTATCCATTCACGGTCTACTCTGTTTGACAAAATTTTCTGTATTTTGAGTCGGAGTGGAACATAGCCGAACGAAATCATGAGCAATGTCACTTCCATTCCTGATGAATCTGAATAAAACATTTCCGAACTGAATGAACTCTCAGGCATTTCACCGATCTTGTCGCGTAGTTCCTGCCTGTAGATAATTCGACTACATCACGATTGTTCTGAAAGGTAATCCCGTGATTATTGTGTCATACACATTGAAATCATCAAACTATAAAAATAGTTATTTATTATACAAGGAGAAAAACATTTTCCCCGTGTATAATACTTTTTTCTACATTCATGCCAAAAGCAGAACTTTATTGCACTATATTTAGAGGAAAAAGAAGTTCTTTATTGCACTTAGTGCAATAAAGTTTTTATTGCACTCATCTGTCACTCTACTTCAACGTGCTGTCATCATGACAAACATTTTTTATATTGCAACTGTGGTTATAGAAACGTCAGTCAAAAATTAATTCTGACAATTAACAGAATTGTACCTAGTGCCGCACCTCAATAAATCATTTTTTGCTTTTTGCATGAACGTAAAAAAAATTTTGTATGCAACTCGTGCAAAAATTCACTTTTTGCACTTGTTGCATAAATAACTATTTTGTGTGACAGAAGAAAGGACAAATCAATATTGAGAAGATATTACATTATTTTGAAATCTGAAAATTATCGACGTGCAATTTTAAGTTTTTAAGTAATAAAATATCTGATGTCACTTATGTCAGTCTAATTCTGTAATTTGATTTCAAAAAATTGCGGATTTAGTGGTTGTTTAGTAATATACGTAACCGCAAAGTCGAATGGAAGATAAAAGGACTTGCAGTTCTTTCTCGGAGACGATATTATTGGCTTATTTTTCGGAACTATAGCACAACAAAAGCCTTCAATATATATATATGTGATATATATCCGGGAAAAAAGTACTCAACTTTTTCCCACGGGAAAAAAGTAATTTATGAAAAGTGATATTTTATAACCTGCCAAAAGAGATGAAATGCCAAACATTTTTTTCCGTCACAGAAAAAATAGTTTTTTAATATACAAGAGAAAAGCGAAGGTGGACAAAAAACCGTGAGCTAAAATCTAATATTTTTCCGTGTATAATACACTTTTTTTTGCGACAGGAAGAAGGACGAATCAATAAAGAGAGGATATTACATTATATTAACATCGGAAAATTATCGGCGTGAAATTTTAAGTTTCCACCAGGAATTACACCTGTGTTGCAGGCATCTTTTAGCAGAAATTTTCATCATTCTTTCGAAGTAATCAAATATCTGTCAGTCTAATCTGTGATTTGATATTTAAAAATCGCAAACATATACGCAGTTGAATGAAACATGAAAGGACGTCTATCTCGGAGACGGTGTTATTGGCCTATTCTTCGGAACTAGTACTACAAAAGCCATCAACAGTATATGAATACAAAGTGTTTTTGAAATAGCTGCACATATTTAGCACCATAATATAAATCAGACTGACTTACGGAGAGCCAAAGCCAAAAAGATTCTCTGAATTTACTGAGCCCAGTTTTTTCACAGTTCATTACAGTGGTTTTGTACACAAACATACTGTAGTCAGTCAAGCGAAACTGAGAACAGGTGACCCTGGTGTTGTAAAGTTAAGAATGAATAGACCCAGATATTAGGTTTTTATTAACAAGAAAGACAGACATTGACAATGAATGAATGAAGGTAACGCGATCAGCACTTATCAATAAGGGGTGACCAAAAGATGAGAAGTGAAGTCCAAACTAACTACACCATTGATTCACCGTTTAATGCATTTTTTGAATATATAAACGGGTTTTGCAAATTTCAGAATATAAGGTGTTCATTTTGGGGCCCAAGAATGATATGATCAATATTCTTTAATCTGGACCTGGATTCTTCTCGTGACTGATGGATGAGTTGCTTAGGTGTGAGAAAGAGGATGTAACCACGATGTAACAGGTATTCTTCCTGGTAGGTTAGTAGGTATATTAGTTATATCAAGGGCGTAAAATAGGCATTCATGAACCACAGCGTGTAAGGTAATGAAATAATGGGAGAGAAGTGTGCTGCCCTAGGCCGATTAAGGAGTACAATAGGCGTTGAAGTAGTCCGGTGGGCGTTATAATAGGTGAAGTGATCCCAGCGAGAACAAACATCCCTGGGATGTTTTGGGATGTTTTGAAAATGTTGGCATGGAGATGTTATTTTGAGACGTAATATGCACTGACCAAAGAGGTCTTCGAAGGATATTGAAGTATTGTTTTTGTTCTTCTGTGGCATTTCTTTGTTTGCCTACTGAGAGGTATCCCTGGGATGTTTTGGGATGTTTTAGAAATGTAGACATGAGGATGTTTCTTTGAGGCGTAATATGCACTTTCCAAAGAGGTCTTAGAAGGATATTGTTTTTGTTCTTTTGTGCCCTTTCTTTGTTTGCCGACGAACAGAAAGGAATTTGGTGAAGTTTATTGTGTTAGAAGACTTATTCAGTTTGTAATAATGACCACTAGATGCAAGATGTGTTGTTCGGTGCCTCAGTGTAATCAATCTATAAAAGTACGAATTTATCGATACACAGCTTCTCCGCAGTTGCAAAATTATGCATTGTGGAGAACATTTCAAAAATTGGGAAACCTATTTCCATTTATATGTCTGTGTGTAGTAAGCACTACTCAGAAACCGATTAAGAAGGTAATTTCATATCAAGAAGATATTTTTATGTTCAATCTATTTTTAATGCATTTTTTCATTCAAGGGAAACGGAATCCTAGTACAACAGTTCATTTTGACAAAAGGCTTCAGAAAAGTACCTCGAAAATGTTTTTTTTACAGCGATTTAATGTGCGCAAAACGCGTTGAAAATGTTTTGTTGTGTCCATGAAAAGGCTTTAAAAAGAACTAGGGAGAAGGTTGTTTTGTGACATATCAAGGATATCTCGATAATTGCCGCCTGCGACATACATTGGCTGTTCTATAATAGTTCTATTCATGTGTGAACAGGACATCGCAGTGGAGGTTCAATGTCTCGAAATCTCGTACTTTTAACATCTCTGAGATGTTTTTGTGCTCGCTGGGATTTCACTCCATTTTCAGTAATTCCTAGTGTACTACCATTCGATCTTTCTTTGCTAATTATATCAAACATTCGGCTGAATAAATTCAGAATCATCATCAATGGATTCCAAATTGACAGTTAATGAATTTCTAAAATGATTACGCATAAAATGTATGTATTTCGTGCTTAACTTGCTTTATATGATCGCTTTGGCCATATCACTGCGGTCCATAAAGCCTGGTATAGGAAGTCAAGATGTCAGAATTTAAAAAAATGAATCCACAAACTGAGTCTGACAATATTCTGAAAAAAAATATCAAAAGAGTTTCGTGATAATGAATTCTTAGGTTTGGTTCCATATTACCATACATCTCTATCAACTTAACAAGTAATCAACTCTACTAACCTATCAGCTATAACATACGTGGTCATTTTTTTAAACGAATTGAATATTCAATCATGACAATGTTTCATTCAACAGACCTTTAGTTTGACGCCAAAGTATTAATGTGTGAATTCACCAACATAATAATTCTGCGTATTATAATCGACCAATCAGATTACGAAACAGCATACCAGGAATACCCCTGCCATTTTCCTTGTCAGTTATACCTTTCTCGCAGACATAACCCGCGACAGTTATGCCGAGCCCTAAATCATCCTTTGTCAGCTCAACGACGAAAACCTCCGTTTCTGGAAGCACCGCCTCGCTCTCTGGCTGATCCAGAGCGAGCGTTTTCGGCAGGCTGCTCTGGATGTCTGCCCGCGTGATATATGGCAACGAAAGGGGATCCACCATGCCCTGGAACAAAGTGTGACGTTCGCGTAATTAACCTTTGATAGGTAAATAGAACGTGATCGTGTTGGGTCTATAGGGTGTTCACCCGCATCGAACTATTTTACTACACATCTGAAAATTATTTTATTATAGAATTGATTAATTAATGAACATTAGAGGATATACCTTCCCGTGGGAACCAGAACATAAAAAAAAGTTGAGTATGGCAGAATATATTCATATTACTCTTTCCAAGTATCGCCACAATCATGATACTAATATTGAGGTGACTCATTACTAATCATAAGTAATATCACGATGTTCTGATTATTCGAGATAACTCTGTCGCATCCTTGTTCACGAAATTATGTTGCCGAGCAACACCACGAGTCCGTCAGGAGAAGTGATATTGCTGTACGGCAACACAATTGAGTTAACAGTGAGAGACAGAAGTATGAGAAGATATTCAGAACAAAGTGATATTTTGCTAGACTATTTCAAGTTCACGAAGCATAAAAAGCATCTATTATAAATTATCGATTCATTCTGACAAGTATACAGTCATAATTATTTCATGCTGAACTGACAGACTTTGCTTCCATATCCACAGTTACATCGTTGAAAACATGAACGCTGGTAGACCAACTAGCAATGAAATACAGCTAATGTTTCCGCGATAAGCACATGATTGTATCTGGCTTGTGATTGGTCAGATTATATGATAAGTGGAATAGTCATAAGTGATATCACGAATATTCGAAATTATTCTCTCGCTTCATTGTTCACGAAATTGTGTTGCCGAGCAACACCACAAGTGCGTCAGGACGAGTTGTATTCCTGTAAAGCAACACAATTGAGTTCCCAATCAAAGACAGAATTATGAGAAGATATTCAGAACATGGTGTTATTCAGCTTGACTATTTCACGAAGCCTAGATTAGATTAGATTTAGAATGGGGCCTTCGGGCTATCTGCCTCCACACCGCGGCCTTTTCAGATGTATTGTGTCTGCCCTCAAAATCGATTAGAGTTCTTCGGCTAGCGCCGCCTTCTCTATGAGACTCCATAGGCTAGCTTTCAGATCCCCTGTGTATCTTTGGGCTCCTGGTTTTTCCTCACCCAGCGTAAGGAACCTTAGTCTTGACAAGCACTCACAGTGGCAAAGAGTATGTGTACTGCTCTGCTGTTTCTCCTTCTTCCTGACAGAACCTGCACAGCAGTTCTTGAGTCAGACCTATCGTACTCATTTGTTTGTTGAGCCTACAATGCCCTGTGTGAAATCCCACTAGTATTCTAGTTGAACTCCGTTTCTGGCTCAGTAGATATTCTGTGAATGTTGGCGATGGTTTTTTGATAAACTCTCTTGCCTGTGTCATACCTGGCGAGTTGTTTCACCATTCTTGAGATTTGGTTTGCATCCATGATTTGATACTAGTCTTTTGTATAGCTTTCGCAATACCACAGAAGGGTTCTGGGCCATTCAGAATCACGAAGCATAACATCAACGCTGATAGACCAATCAGAATTTAAGGGGCAAGTATAACATTTTCTGAAACTATCCGGTTATGTCATGGAAGAAGGTGTTACGTGCATATGTAACTTGACCTGTTAGGATTTGTTTCTATTCTTCATATCTGAGTAGATACACAGTGGCAGAAGGGGCTATGTTACACTCAACATCAAGGACGCAGTGGAAGAAGGAGCTATGTGCCCATTATTTGCATGACAGGAAATGGAAGGAGCAGGGGTTATGTATACATGAATCAATATGTATATCAAATGTGAACTGAGTTTGAATCTTCTCCTGAAGATGCTAAAATAGTTAGAAAAACACGTGTCGAGGTGTAAAGAATAACAGGATTCAGTCTTCGATATATGTGAAATTATTGTTTGTAGAAAACCAGGGGAAGGCAATTGCCATCCCTTGCCCCCCCCCCCTTAAATAACGCCCATGCTTTATTACTCATTCCCTGTTCCCTATTTTTTATTTCTTATTCCTGTGTATTGAGTCACGACCTTTGGTGTCCAAATAACTGGATATTCGGTGATCGATGTTGAGAATCGTTCGGGGTTAATTATTGTCACTTGATGTATACTCACTTGATATTGAACGTCAGGGTGTCCTGAATAGATGTAGGAGTTCGTATCGAAAGCGGACGGAGAGTGATGGGCGAAAGCTTCACCGTATCCATTTTCTACCAGATGTCGATCTAACTCGACAGGGTCGCCTAGGATCTTCGTTGGAACGATCGGAGCAAAGCTGCTCAGAGTCTGTAAGTAAAGTCGTTATGATGTTTATCTTGGAATTGGAATAATCTTGGAAATATACAATATATTTCAAAATTCAGTAATTAAATTTTCAGGGGATCATTTTCCAGGTCAAAATAAGACTTATTATCCTTATGAATATGTGTCCACAAACGCTTTTTTGGCGATCTACAGAGCTTTGAAGTTTCAAGATTTTTTAAATTTTCTTCATAGCTACTTATAGTTTTCCAGATATTCAGATCAAATTCTGAAGATATAGGTTATATGTTTTAGATTTCACAATATACGATATGCCGACTGATTGTAACAACCCATAGGGAGATTTTTTTGTACAAAAGTGAAGCCCTTTTTCGCTCCATACACTTTTTGTGGTATAGATGTTGGAATACGAAATGAATTCCAAGTATCGCATACGTCATTGAATTGACATAATGACAATATGATGTTGTACTGTTGTTTATATGTAAAAAAACTGGATGTGTCGTTAAGCAGCACTGAGAAGCAGTCGTTGTGACCTTATTGTGACAAAGAACATTATTTGTAGTTTTTGATCTATATATTTATAACGTTACAAAGACTACGTACTGTCTTCATGTAATGTAACTTTATCGAAAAGTTACAAAGACTACGTACTGTCTCAATGTAATGTAACTTTATCGAAAAGTTCAACTTGCTCGTAATGACTATAATATGATTATGTATCTACGATGAGTCCATTAAAATATTAAACCAATAAATACCTATCGCCTTGCAAGCGAATAGGCGTATTTCGAAAAATTCTGACAGAATATGCAGAGGAAGTACCTCTTCAAGAATTAACAATAAGAATGAAAAATCATCCAATTCCTGTGAGGATGCAGAAAATAGAGAAAATTCGTTCAAATTGGAGAAAAATGTACAAGGGATAAGTTCCCAAATTATACATACATCAGGGCCTCATCTACCGATCACTGATAGTCCAGATATAGGCATTTGCCATGTGCATGATGTGATTCTGAAGAAGAAAAAATCTAGAATGATGGCCAAGCTGGTGAATAATACCTACTTGAAAATAAGTTTCAACTTCAAAGAAATATTGAGGAATTGGGCATTAGTTCACAATAAGGTTCTTAGAACGATGGAAGCCATTATACTGTGAGTAAGTTTCAAGATAACATCGTTTTACGACGAAAATATACCAACATAACCTCTATTTGCAATGACACAAAATTTGAAGTTGTTATGGTGTCATTAGTGTCGATAGTGTCGTTATATAAGAAGTGAGGTTGAAAATCAGAGAACAGAATCCCTAATTTCAGGCGATACTGTTCACCTGACACCTCGCCTATTTCCACATAATCATATTTTCCTTTTTTTTTTCCAATACCCATATTGTTATCATAATTCGCATCCAATCATTTTTTGTACATACACCGTGCCCCAGCTGAAATGTCCCCCCCCTGTAAAAAATTAACCGCGCGATCGAATTACTTTAAATTTGGTCCCCCCCTCATATTTGATGATGCTCACTCGAATTATGCTATGGAATAAATCGTAGGTATAGCCAAACCGAAGTCTACTTGGATATGGAATAATATACTGGGTGTCCCTATATTCAAATAGGAAAGTTTAGGTGCACTTCGGTGTGACCCTGTATACATACGATTTATTCAATAGTATATTTCGAGTGAGCTTCATCAATTATACTGGGTGACCCAATTTCAAGTCATTCGATGGCGCCGTTGAATTTTTACAGGGGGGGACATTTTAGCTGGGACACGGTGTATACAGGGTGATACGTATTTCGAGGCATAAACTGAAATGGAAGATAGATCTCATCATTTCAATCAGAAAAGTTTTCATAAACATTAGTCCGATCTCATTCAGTAGCAGAGCTACAGGGCGTCAAAGTTCAATTATTTTTCAAAATCTACAGGGTGATTTGGGGGTAGTTGCCTCTGGCATCTTTCAGTAATTGTGTGGATCGTTCGATTAAGAGGCTTTCTTGATCTTCACTCTTTTTCAAGAAACGAACCATTTTTGAGATAAATAAGCATATTTATACGTTTAGCACATGTTAATTTTGCCTATATGTCTCGGTTAAATTTCATTCTTTGACCAAATTCGTTGGCAATGCAATGAAATGTCCTACGATTGCAATGTTCTTATGCACCAATCTGGATAAGTAGCATCAGGGATACAGAGGGTAAAAGGTCTAGGTTGCTCTTCACCGACCAATACAACGTCGCGAATAAATCGTGTTCAGCTACTGGTTGAGCCCCATCCAGTTGTGTCCACATTCCTTGTCTGATATTTTTTCTTATATCATTCGAAGGAATTGAAAAATAATATGGCATTCAACATTTCGGCAAGATTGTAAGGCCACAAAGGACATAATAATAATGGCTTGTTTATATTATGTTATGTGAGTTATGGTAATTTACCAACCTACTTGGTAAATGAGGCTTTATCAGTTCACAATATATTCTTTCATCAATTCGATATTCTCAAGCGCTTCCAAAAGCCGGTGGCAAAATGCTAATCTTCTTACAGAATGTGATTATCTCTTTTGCGATTCCATTATTATCAATCCTATCAAAGTAGGCTTTGATAAAACAAAAAAGCTCATGACTTTTTACAGTGACATAAGTGAAGAAATTTCAGATTTCAACAAATTGACAAATTTTTCTTTTTAATTTTCGCTGTAATTCGTGATTTAGCTAACATGCCCAACATATTTACTAATCAAGAGTATGCTGACATCCATTTTGTTTATGGAAATTGCAATGGAAATTGCGCGTCATGCAATCATATTTTGCAATTATTTGATGCAAATCAATACCTAAAGTACACGAAGAGCCGCGATGCTACTAAAGGCTTCTCAATCAACTGTGTGGCGTAGTTCGCACGCCGACTTAAGAAAACCATACCATTTCCAACCAGTGCAGAAGTTACAACCAGAGGACTTCCCAAAAGAAGATTGGCATTTTGCTACTGGCTATTAGAAGCAGTCGAAAATGACGCACAGTTTCAAAAATAAATATTGTGGACAGATGGAGCCACATTCACCAGAAGAGGGGTGGTAATACCATAACTTACATGTTTGGGCTCACGAAGATCCACACGCTGTTCGTGCGCATGATTTTCAACATGAATTTATCTGGAGTGGCTTAATTAAAAATATCGTTTGTGGACTCCACATTTTTCCCGATCGGTTAAATACCTTATTATTCTTCAATTTTTTGAATGATAATCTTGAAGAGTTACTGAAAGAAGTACCACTCAACATCAGGCCAGAGATGTATATACAACTGGATGGGGCTCCAGCTCACTACTTAGACACTGGCTAAACACGAATTTTCCGCGTCGTTGGGTTGGTCGGTTAGGTCATATTGGTTGGCCTCCCAGGTCATTCGACTCGAATCCCTTGGATTTTCATTTTTGTGGTTGTCTCAAACATATAAGGTCTTCACTACACGAGGCCAAACAATAAGGGAGGAACTTATCATTAGCTTCCAACAAACCGGCACTGTAATGAGGAATGATCCCAACCAAATATCTAGAGTAACTTCTGCATTAGTACGGCGATGTAGGAAGTGTTTAGAGGTAGAATGATCTCACTTTGAACACTTACTCTAAGCTTTCTCAATATCCATCTTCAGTCTGTGTTATAATAATTATCAGAGCTCTGCACGGGCCGGGCCAACCCGCGCGAACCTAACGCCTAGGCCCGGATCGACCCGTGCCGCGGGATGGTCCGCCACTGGCCTGAAGTATGCAGCGTACGGGGCGGGTCGAGCCAATTCATATAAGAGTGACCCACAGATGGGAATAGTATAGCTTGTAGCAATGAGTGAAAGTATCTGCCCTAATCGATTTATTTAAGTCGGTACGTGCTCGAGAAGGGCTAGATCTCTGCAGTGATAAGAGTGAAATATCGATAGATCATATACTCTTGGAGGTGGACAGGTTGAAGAAACATCCTTGGGGGAAGAACCCCAAAGTGATAAAGCCTTACATGAAGAGGAGTTCTTGAGACATGATGAACGTGGAACTTAAGCTATAGCCGTGTTCGGGAACAAAGGTCAATCCAGGGGGTAAGCTGTTGATGATGATAAAGAGGATCATCCATGATAGGCCTGCGAGGAAATAAGAATGAAGTCTATTAACTATTTCGTTCAATCTACGTCTAGCATGGCCATGATGATATGCTCCGAATCATTTCGCGTTGCTTCCAAAACACTGATGGACGCGAAATCCAATCATGGGTTGAAACAAGACCTCAATATATGGTCAGATATCCTCGAGAAATAAACTCATTGTTTTTATGGCTAGCTGAAAGTGAGAAACTTTCTAGACATCGAAGAATATATAGGAGCATCGTTGATTATCATCAGCCTTTTTTTGCTTGTTGGTACCACAGCATTTTCTCCCATTTCCTGAATGCATTCAAAACGTCCGATTTGGAGAATCATCGCCAAAATAAATGCGTTGACGATGAAAATATTGTGAACATTTCGTTTTTTCTTAAGCATTGCTAGTGAAATACAAGTACCCTAATAGCACACAACGTCCAAGGGACGTCCCTATTTGGTACAATTCACGTCCGAATGTCCCGAACCAAAAATAAGTGTCCTTGGGACGTCCCATGCCGTACATCTCATGCAATGTCCGAGCAAGGACGTCCACGGAATGCCCCAGCTGGTACATCATTTCAAATGTCCTAGAAATAGCATCCCTTAGACGTCCCACGTGGTACATATTGTAGAATGTCCATGCAGGGACGTTCTTGGCATGTCCCTGATGGGATATGATTTCAAACGTTCCTTTAGGGACATCCATCGGATGTCCCGAGTAGTACATATTCTGGCATGACTTCAGATCTTATATAATGTATCTTCTAGACATTCATGAAATGTCCGTGATGTTACATTCCTTCAAGTATCTTTGCACAGACGCCCTTAATATTTCCAGAATCGTATAACAATCGAAATGTCCCTTAAGAACATCCTTCGGATGTCCCTTAGGGATATCCGTCGAATGTCCCAATTGGTACATGAACTGTACTCTTCCAATGTCCTTTCAATATGTTGTCCCTGCGAGGACGTTAACTTACACCTCGCCGACGAATGATTGCTTGTAGGCTATAAGCACTCCTCGTCAATGTCCTTCATGTAAGTCCATTGGACATCCTTTGGAAACTTTTTGGTTATATTCTACGGACCATCAACTCAACTGGATGTCCTAATCAGTTATGCAAGATCTGGTCCTAGAGGGACCCAGAAAAATTCAAATTCAACAATAATTCGTACGTCCCTGGGACATCCTATGGACATCCAATTGATATCCCTCAGCGTTGCTGATAGGTTGTCCTATGGATGTCCTAAGGATGTCCTCTGTAGTGCTTGATGACGAATACTGTAGGATTCAGGTATTCGATAGTTGTTCCAGGGACACTCTTCAAGGATGTCCCTACTTGGTCCTCAAGTGGAACATCTGTGCGTCCCTCAGACGTCCACGGTACCAAATTCGAACGTCCTATGGACGTCCTGAATGTCCCGACAGGATATCCATGAGAAATAAGTGTGTTATTTGGGTATATAATAACTTTATAGAATAAAATTCCATTCTGGATATATTCATTCTATTATCATAACAATATCGCGAGGTCTCGCGAAATTGGCCATTTTATGTGTTTATTCTGCAAATAATCACAATATTTGGATGAATTCGGTGAAAATAATGAGAATATAGCTATTATGAAATAAACTTTATTTTTATGATTTTTTTTTCGATAAACACTTATGTGTTCGTATTGTTCAAGCCCAGTTCAAGCAACTGAGTATATCAATGATAATGTTGAACGGAATAATAACGACATTCAGACAGTGAATATGGGAAAGTCGTAGTTGAAATAAGGAGAAGGTTGCTTGACTCCTCAACTCCAAGGAAATTTTGAAATTCTAATATATGTTATATGGAATAATGAATTGAGTTTATGAAAAATACCCAACAAAATTTCCGACGGCATCTTAATGAGTAACCTCAATAAACATTCTCGCGTGTTCCATATGAATGCGAGGTTCTAATGCGATCACTATTTTCAACATCTTAATAAAATCAACACAGTATTTCACATTGGGATGTACTTGACATGAGGATTTGGCTCTCCATTATTATTGTGTATGATTTGTTTCTTCTTACCTGAAACTCTGCATTAGCAGATTCGATAGGCCTGGCGACCACCATTCGGACGTGCACTCCACACTGTCTCAGAACAGAAGCAACTTGCTCAGAACCCAGTCCTCTGAGGTTGACTTCACCAATTTGGAGAATGTGATCACCACTTTGTAGACGACCGTCCTATGGAATAAAAACGTTCCGAAAATCTGTATGACAAACATGAAGTGTGGGCAATTCACAATAATTTTTATGGTAGTGAAAGCATCAATTCCGCAGGGGATAATAAAAAATTCGAAAATTATAAGATGCGCTCTCTAAATATAATCCCTTTCATTTTTCCAATCTTGAGAGTTGAAAAAATGTACACTTCAGAAGTCGGTTATCAGACTGGACAATCATTCCAGACGTTTTTTCGTAATAACTGCAGTCAAGGTACAAAGAATCGCAGTTGGCCGAGGACCAAGAAAAGTTCAACCAATTCGGGAACAGACCATACAATACAGAGAGGTTCAACTTTTCCAAAGGAATATGTGGTATATTTCCAAGAAATGTTGAGGACATATAGGTACTAGATAGTGAATAAAGCAGGGTGATTCATTAGTAATTGAAAATATTTCGACTATAGAATCTTGAACTCAAAATATGATTATTCGACCCGATTCACCTAAAGATATAATGTGTCTCCTGTCTGAGTTACAGGGTGTTTCATTTGAAATTTCAAAAATCATTTGTGCCCAGTACTTCAGAACTTTTCAACGTATAATTGTCACATTTGGCAGGGAATGTATAAGTACTATATTCACTCTACTAAATTATGTTAAATGAACGAACGACAGCGGCACCACAGACGAAATTGCAATTTTATCAAACTTATTCCTCGTGGAAGATTTCGAATATTCTCAGAATGTTCTCACAAAGTGCACTGAACGTTATGAGAATATTCTGAGAACATGCAAATGCGGGACAAAATTAATTCTCATAATATTGCATGTACTTAACATGCTCAGAACAATCTATGAATATATAGAACATCCTCAGAATGCATGATCTAGAAATTTTTTCAGTATACATGGTGTTTTAAAGCGCATGAAAAATATTTCAGGTATCGATATATAGGAGGGAAATATAAGAAGCACTAGAAGGGCCAACTAAAATAGAAGGAAATAAGAACTTTAAAATTCTCAGTCATAAATCGAAAATTTGAATGAGATAGGGTATGAAGAGAGTAATTAATTGGAGAAAATTGCTGTGAATTTGTATTCACTTAAACTCATTGATACCGCAGATGAGCATGACAATTAGTTTTATCAAAATCAGCGGAAGGGATTTTTAATAATCAATAAAAAATCTCAAAAACGAAACAGGTTTGGACAATATGTTCATAGGAAACAAAACTGTTCCTCTCTCTCCGAGTATCTAAATAATAAATTCTATGAACATGCCTGGAATACTCGAACAATTCATTCTATGATAATTGTAGAATATAATGGAATATTCTAGGGCAGTTTTTAAGATATTTATTGAAATGGTCTATGGATATTCTCGTGAAACATTCTATGAACATTCAGAACAACCTCATCATATTCTATGAACGTTCTTCAGTATATTCTGAAGGGTATGTGGTGAACGTTGCGAGAACATTCATATAATATTCTCTGGTGTCTGGGTTGTATATGAATATTGGAGGGTGAGGGTTCCAATGTTAATTCTGGTCTGGAGATACTCATCATTCAGTATATTCAGATACATTATACCCTCACAGACAGCATAGACAGACAGTATTTTATCGGTGGGCGAAAATTTAACATGCACACATTGTCATTCGCGCTTGAGTCTGATTAATACCTCAATTATAAACCCCTGTTACTTGGCCTATTTGTTATTTCACACGTTCACTGGAGAGATGGGATGAGATAATGTACACGAAATGTAAACAAGCAAGACTCGAAGTACAGCCAACTTCAGGAACATGTTGCGGTTGCACGTTATGAATGCTCATCTCAGAAGACTGTATCTGCTACAAAAGTCGAACTGTACACAGATGCGTCAGATGTTGAATTGTCAATATTGTATAATATTTCGTGGAATATCATGTTTCAACTAATGACTACTGTGTGTATCAGAATTTTTCATAAGAAGAAGTATAATCGAAGATTATGTTTTAGGTACTTGCATATTTCCAAGAACGCTTTTCAAAATGGAAGCTCTGATCTTTATGGGCAATCAATTCTATGCTAAGCATGACAATACATGAACGTAGTAAGCAAAATGTATGCAATCAGAATATGGAGAGGAACCTGAGAAAGCGAAAACTTACCTCAGCGAATCGAAGAGTTTTTATCATATACGTCAGATGAAAACTTCTTGATCACAAAGTTAGTTAAATGCATGTATCCCATGGACCAAACCAACCAATATCACTTCTATCACAATATCTCGTGCCGCATCTGCACTCTCACGGCACGGCATATACTATGAGTACTTTTTTCTACTCCCGTATGTGGATTACTAACTTCTCACATCGATAAAAATGTGTGAAGCTTCATTTCACGAATCGGTGTGTGAAGTGCCATGCTTTTCTTATGGGATTTATTTCACGCACTGGTGCCATAAGAGTCAATACAAATTCACACACCGGTCGCTGGTCTAGGTAGCACTAATTTTGTAGACAAAGACAAAGTAAATGTACATTTTGACAATTTACAAAATTGCAATATAACTGTTCATAATAATTATTATTGTAATAAAGAAAATTAGTCAAATTTTCCTTTAATTCAATCTCTAAGTAAAAGGTCGTAGAAAAAGTATAGTGTGCACCACGTCCGTGAAGACTTCACGCACTAGATACACAATATACTATCAAATCTTCAATGAGAATAGTTAAACTAATGCTGTAGAAGCCGATATGTAGTTTATCTATGCGTGATTCACCCTACACCTGCACTCATTTTAGTTTTAGGAAGTGTCATTTTCCCGCAGTACTGCGGTAATCTTTTCTACACACTAGTGCGGGAATAGCAACAATTATATCATATTATCACATAACATAAGTGGGAAGTTTCAGCTTGTTTGTTGCAGTATTTTCTATAGGTTCATCCATTATCATCCATAAAATTGCAATATTTATTGTGAAAATGTAGAAATATTGAAGAATAATAATAGGTTATAGTAATCCCCCTACACAGACTGAGATTGATCTGATTGTTTGTAATTATCAGAGTGACAGACAAAGCGTCACTTATAATATAGAAGTTTCCATTCAGTGAAATTGCCGCAATGGATTATTCATCTAATGGAAAACTTCCACAAGAGTTTGTGCAAGCAGCTACATATGCGAACCTAGAGTCATTACCAACAAAGTCTAAAGAGAGGTATTAGAAGCAATATACGCATTTTATTGAATGTTGTAACAATAAAAAGGTGGAAACACCAAATAGGTCGTGTGCACAATTGACAGATGACCGACCCTGGAGGTAAAACAACCTCACTTTTTTTATTTGTTTAAGTACAAAGGATAGAAATAGTTTTCCAAAATGATGTTTGGCATATAAGAATCGTGTATATTTTTCAATCAAAGCATATTGTTATGTTATTCGGGTGCAGAAGCGAACACGACACTATTTATTTTCGAACTGATTAATTTGAACAATAGAAACACTAATTTATAACGAACTTAGAACTACTATTTATGTAAAACGATTTATATCACGCGGTATATAACTGTCTCTCTGACACTCGCTGCTCGACTCACTGACGGCAGTTGTTCGGCCGTTATATATGAGATTCCTTGAAAGGCTTTGGTTCGAGAACGTTCTCGAATGATCTTCCGTCTCCTTCTTTTTGTTCTATATAGAAGCTTCTTAGAACAATACCTCTCTCTCTCTCTTATTGTTCCATCCATTGTTTCCAGAACATTCCAGAATCTTCTGACACGTTATTCGTCACCGCGGCATATATTGAGTATTCGGAAATATGCTGGTGCATGTAGGAATCATTGGGAGGTTGGGGAACAATCTGAGATGCGTGTTACAGGATGATCGTTGTACTCCTGCCTTCCTGCTGATGTTTCTAGTGCCCCGTTAAGGGGAATATCATTACAATATTATCACATTGCACAAGTATACAATGAGAGACGGAGGAATAGAATTTTATTTTACTAGGCACCAAAATAGTAGATTGACTGCCTCGGCTGAAAGTGCACATATCGATAAATCAAAGCTAACTGAAGTTATCATTACTGAAAATGGACAACATATGTCAGAGTGAGATAATATTGAAATCATGAGAAAAGAAGAAAACAACCAAAAGAGAAAAATGAAGGAATTCGCTTGCATTCTTCTGAACGAAGATAATAGCATTGCTTCCTGTTCAGTTGATATAGATAGAACATGGTATTAACTACTGAAAACTGAACATGAAAATTGTAGATTCAAGATCAATTGATAAAAACATTCTGAAACTCATTTTATGACGTAATCACTCATCCATTTGCCAACATCAGTATATCACTGAAAGGTGTCAAACTATATGAAAAACATTTTCGAAGAAAAATATTCTGCATTTTCATATTGAGAACGGTAGCAGATTCGTTCCCGAAACGTCCAAAGATGAGAAAAAATTTTATATTTTATATTCTTCAGGAAATCAGTGAACTTCAACAGATGTATCCGCAATAAACCTACATAATGCGTCAAACTGTACTACATTCACATAAATATTACTGATAATTAGTAGTCAGAAAATATATTACTATTTATCCAGCAAACATTGAATAAGCGGGAGGAGTCCGGCCTAGTGCAGGCTAGTCTGGGAAAGTGACGATGCCGGGGTATTGGTAATGGGCCGATGATTTTTCTATGCCAAGTAACCATCAATTGAAAATACGATGATGGCCTTGTGATGGTAAGATGTCTAGAACTAATTGAATACTAACGAGATCTGACCCTTTGCTGGCCAATTTCATGTTCGCTACTCGCCCCCCTGGTGGACGTTCTGGGAACGTCTACATCAACAATCAGCTGATCAATATGATGACTAAGATAGCTGACTCTCGTGAGTGGTGATCGCTTACTAGTTTGTTTATGTAGAATAAATGTGGTCCTCTCTTTCCCTGGTGGTTATTTGTGATGGCAACAGTATTCTCAATCAATAATAAATAGAGGGCGGATTCTTCAATTATG